TTTTTTTTATTTTGTTTTGGCAGAGAAAATAAATTTGAATTACGTGAGAAATGACTCAGGGATTCGAGGAGAAATGACATGAAACGTACAGATATTACAAAGGAAAGTGCGCCAACCCTATGCACTGCCGGCCCGCTATCTAGCCGCCCTTTAGTACGTCCACTGATGGTCTGTGACAGTGCCCCACAGACTTAAAACACTGCCATGTCATTCAACTCTAATCGCCGCATGCATTCATCACTCATTCAAATTATTTATCATACCTTGATATTCACTTGTATCTTCAATGGAAGTTTGATAATTTTGAATTCTTCTTGATTCTGGAATCTTCCAACTTCGTTTCAGAATATGCATGTATTCGCTCCTGCCAGGGTCGACATGTAACGATAAATAGAAGAAGATGATGTAATGACAGACTGGAGGAGTAGCTTACCGCCACCCTCGATAATGATGTTTATTAGCTACTTCACATCTCCAGAATGTGTCTATTGCACATTCAACACACACTTATATATGATACGGAAACAATGGGAGAGAGACGACACAGAGAGAACAATAGAGAGAGAAAGAGGAAAGAGGAAAGAAGAAGAGCAGCGAGCCGTGACGCATATATCGGCACACTATTGTTTACTTCGAAACAATATCTAAAGTGTAAGATAAAGCGATGAAATTTCCCACGTAATATCACAATGACTACCTCGAATATATGGCGTAGAAAGATAGCTGGAATATCCTTTCCCTAAGTAGATATATCGAAGTTCCGGGAACTTTTGGATCACCCTGTATATATAACAATAAATATAAATTATGAAAACAATATATTTGTATTTATTTTAAATATAAATTACCAATAACTTAATTTATGCATGAATTAAGTTGGAAATAAATATGAACTGAGTCCCCTACGTACACTAGTCATGTAACAGCAAAAAAAGTGAAAAGCATATCGCATTTTCAGAGCAACAATCAACATCAGATTAGAAAATTTTATCAAGAGGAGTAAGAGTACAGTTCAAGTTTGGACCCATCAAAAATTAATCAATCAGATCCGAGTCCGAAAATCTTGATCAACCGGGTCCGGGTCCAAAAAAATTAAATTGAGCGGGTCCGGATCCAAAAAGTTGTAATCAGTGGGGTCCAGGTCCAAAACCTTTTGAACCCGATGAGCTCTACCTCTGACACTAGCATAACTCTAAGGAGAGCTCATTTTCTCCTGAATGAAAATACTGTCATTAATCATATGAGTATATGTGTTTTCACTTGTTTTGATAATGCGTTCATTTTGTCTGTCGTCTCTTAATTCTGCTTTGCCGACACTTTTTTTCTTTCATTGAAAAAAAATGTCCGCAATCACGAAGATGCGTCGGTGTATGAGATAGACGGCCGCGGATGAGACATGCGTCGG